AGGGTTCCCTGTTTCCATTTTAATCTGGGGTTCCACTTCCTCATCCATGTGAGTCCCAGGACTAGCGGCCACCATTCCATTCTGGGTGCCACAATAAATGTGAGTCTCTCATCATGAGTCCCCATGGCTATGTCTAGAGCAGTGGTGGGTTGGTTATCCCGTTCCAACCGGTTCGGTTGGAACGGGGCCGGCGGTGTCCTCATGCACGCGCGCAGTTCATGTGTGCATCGTAGCGCCTGCAAGATGCTCCAGCTGCTCGCGGAGATTCGCACAGGCGCTGTATGTGCCATCCAGCTGCTTGCGGAGAATTGCGCAGGCACTGTATGTGCCATGCGCCTGCGTGGAAGCGCAGAAGCCTTCAAAGACCAGTAAGGAGCGTGGGCAGGCGGGTGGGCCCTTCGCCATTCCCGGAAGTTACTTACTTCCGGGTTCGCCGACCAACCGGTTCACGGGGACCGCCGCAAACTGGTTGAAACCCACCCCTGGTACCTTCATACCTTTATGTAAGCTCACAGCTTGTAGGGTTGATTGACAACTACCCCTAACATGTTGTTCAATGTAGATTGACTACCTCTTCCCTTATATTTAATTATGGTAGCCATTTTGTGACTTTAAATTTACTTTTCATTTAAAACTCCAGCTTAGTAGTGGAACCATCTGTGGCCATCCTTCAATAATTCACCCTTCTGATGTAGTGTGGAAAGTATGGAATGGTGTTCGGTTGAAAAGGGAAGGGTTAATAAAGTAATGAGATCCCATTTGAGATCAACTTTCTTTTGTTGCAGCATTGACAGGTGACTTGCTATTACCTGTACTGAGCGTGGATAGATGACATACAAGTACTTGGTCCTCAGGAACAGAGGCTGGCTGAGTGATTTTCAACTAGTCATGCTGTTTTATCCCCCAGATAAGAGAACCTGAAAAAATCTATTTACCAAACAATCATTGATCAATGATTGATCAATGGATCGATTTGATAGATGACATTCTATAAACTTTAATTAAATGGCATTTACCTGCTGTGCACATGTACTAATATTTGCTTGGTATTATTATTTTAATAATAACTTATTGAAGCTTAAAATGCAAGGATGAAAAACCTAATGAAAAATTGAAACATGCAGAGAGAGAAAAAAAAGAGAGAAAAGATAAATAAATGGCTCCCCTCTTTATCAAAACAGGTACAATCAATTTCAGTAACTTATCGGCTTCCTTAAGATTTCAACCAAAGATCTCTGCTTCCCATATCTGATCTATAAGTAAAGACATGTCATTCAATTTTAATCAGCAAAAGTCCATTAAGATTTATTGGAAATAACATGTATGTTTTAATCTTAATCAAAAAAATCAGTTTCATAATCCTTTACTTTATTTTCCACACAGTAACATATTATTTATCTCGAAATAATAAAAAAGGCATTTCTTTTTCCCATGCCTTATCTATAAACAAATCTTTAAAGCTTTATCATTTGAACTTCACTAAGAAAAATCTATTAAAAGCTATCAGCAACAGCAACATATTAAGAATCTTAATCTTTAATTCCTTCAAATAGTTCACCACAGGTTATTTTTTTATTATTATTTTGTCTTTGTAGCTTCTCAGAAACTCCTTCACAAGTTTTACACCAGAAATAACACCATTTATATTTTAACCAAAAACAACAGCACTTCTTTCCTATCTTACTCTAAACATATCTTTAAAGTTTTTTTT